GGCCCGAACTTCTAGCCATCTTTCTATCCATCTTACCGTGCATTTATCCAATCCACAATCCCTTAACTTGATAGCAAGAATATTGTGGGAGACCATATCAAAAGCCTTGCTAAAGTTGAGGTATATCACATCCACTGACTTCCCCATGTCCACCGAGCCAGTTACCTCATCATAGAAGCTAATCAGATTGGTCAGGCACAACTTTCCCTTTGTGAATCCATGGTGACTATTCCTAATCACTTTCCTCTCATCCAAGTGACTCAATATGGATCCCTTAAGGATCCCTTCCATGATTTTTCCAGGAACCGAGGTAAGACTGACTGGCCTATAGTTCCCTGGATCATCCTTCTTCCCTTTTTTGAAGATGGGCACTACATTTGCCTTTTTCCAGTCATCCGTATGGATTCCTTAAGGATCCCTTCCATGATTTTTCCAGGAACCGAGGTAAGACTGACCAGCCTATAGTTCCCTGGATCATCCTTCTTCCCTTTTTTGAAGATGGGCACTACATTTGCCTTTTTCCAGTCATCCGGGATTTCTCCCGATCTCCACGACTTTTCAAAGATAATAGCCAAAGTGATCTTGTGGGTAAGATCCAGAATGTAAATCGATTGGGATCTGTGGCTGGTTTCTTGGGACCAGAAGAACCCGTTCAGGGGAGGTGAAATTGGGTTCTAGACCCCTCACCTGTGTGTAGGCCCGGGGCTGATTGGGGCACAGGGAGAGCTGGGTATCAGAGGGGTTTTGCTCGTGAGGCTTCTTGCTGGCCAGATTGGCAGCTGAAGGGCTCTGTGTGACTGGTTTGTGGCCTATTTGGGAAGGGCCTCCACTCAGGGGCTGTAAGGAGCAATTTTCCCTGAGCGGACGCCCTCAGCTGTGCCCAGACCCGGCCCTGTCCGTCACACCTGGCTCTCCGGGCCATTCAGCTACCACTAAAACCCAGGGAAACCCCCAAGCGAAACCGGATTACAAAAACCAGCTGCCATAGGGGGGCCCAGGGACTTGCCCAGCTTCTCCCTCCTCTCCCACCCCATCAGCCCATCCCCCTGGCATCCCACCTGCAGGATGTTCCTCACAGCTTCCCCACGCTGCGGAAGCAGCCGCTCTCCAGCTGGTGACGCTGCAGCCACCGCAGGCTGCGGTTTACATGCTTCTCATCGATGGAGATGTAGGGTCTGGCCTGGCCAAAGGACTTGAGGACGAAGGCCGTCAGCCTGGGCGGGGAGAGACCCGTTACAGCAGGGGTGGGGAACCATTTTGATGTGGGGGTCATTGACCCACAGAAAAATCGGTCGGGGGCCATGGACAAGTGAGAAGCAAAGAGAGAAGGAGAAAGACCCTCCCCCCATTCTCCTCACACACCAAAGCCTGGGGGGGGGGGAAGCAGACTAGTAGACATTGTGTGCTCCTGCCCCGTGGGTTGGGGGCTGGGGTGCCAGCACAGACTCCCCAATGCTGAGCCTTGGGGGCTGGATCCAAGCAAGCCAGGGGCTGCATTCGGCCCCTGGGCCTGAGGGACCCTCTGCTGGAGAGGCTGCGGGCCAAGAAGGAGGCATGTTTAGGGCCAGGGTTGGGGGGATCTAGCACATGGAGGGGGATGAGCAGAGCTGTCAGGGGAGCCCGGGCTAGGACTGGGAGATCAGAGAGAGGGCCGTGGGGCAGAGCTGTGTGGGGAGCAGGACTGGAATAACAGTGGGGCTGGGGGCCAGGCTGCAGCCCATGTATGTCCTGTCCCCACCCAGAGCCCTGACTCCCCCGTTCAGCCCCTCACCAGCTGTTGCCTGTGGGGTCGCTCTTCCTATGTTTGCTGTAGGAGCCGTCCTTGCGCTTATAGCGAAGCTGGCGCTGGTACCCTGCAGGGCAGGAGAGATGCACTGAGTCCTGGATCTGCTCATCTGCAGGGGTTAGAATCCACCCCAGCCCCCCCCACCACCACGCTGAGAATCAGAGACTCCAAGAGGCGGTCTGAATGCACTGACAGAGCTGAGGCTGAATAATGCCCTGACCCCGCAGTTCCCTGGCCTGGGGCTGGACACCGCGGTGTTCCTAGAGGGGAAAAGGCTTTTCTCCCTTTCCCAAGCCCCTGAGCCAAACACTCCCCATGCACCTGGGTGGGAACTGCTGTCCAGAGAGAAAGGCCCAGGATCCCATTCCCTGACCCCAGGGCCAGCCAGTGCCCAGAGCTGGGGCTGGACTGGAACCCCGGGCCCAGAGTCCTGGGGGCGGGGGAGGGGAGGACACTCACCGCTCTGCAGGAATCCCTGGGCCTTGTCTCTGATCTCCGGGCTCAGCTGCCCGCTCTTCTCCAGGTACTGCAGGGTGTAGATGTTGAGAGCGAACTGGACCATGTTCTGTTCTACATCGTTGAAGAATGTGGGCTGCAGGTCTATGTTCTGCAGAGCCGCGCCCATTATGTCTCCTGCCACCAAGGGAATCGGGAAGCAGAGAATGACCAGGCTGAACAACAGCTGCCCGGCCTCCGAGCCCCTAGTTCAATTCAGCCTGAATGGCCTTGAGAGCGAACTGGACCATGTTCTGTTCTACATCGTTGAAGAATGTGGGCTGCAGGTCTATGTTCTGCAGAGCCACGCCCATTATGTCTCCTGTCACCAAGGGAATCGGGAAGCAGAGAATGACCAGGCTGAACAACAGCTGCCCGGCCTCCGAGCCCCTAGTTCAATTCAGCCTGAATGGCCAAGAGGCCAATGCCCTGGCACAGCTTCCTGGCACCACCGTGTGAGTCTGCAGCCCCTCGCTGGGCGAGGCCCTGGAGCACAGACTGCAGGACCGGTCCTGCCCCAGCCCAAGGCCCCCACTCCACCTCCTGGGGCTTTCCCGTCCGTGACGCCCTGGCTCTCTGACCGGAGCGCTGGGCACAGCCGGGCTGGCTGGGCAGGCACCGCACCCTGGCAGGGGTGGGGCAGGGGAATTCCTTACCCAGGACAGTCACGTGGGCTCGCTCGGACCCCGCCAGGACGTTCGCAGGCAGCTGCAAGGAGATTTCTTCGGACGCTGCGAGACACAAAGGCAAAGACACAACTGGAAAGGCCTGATGGGAGCCTGCCCCAGCCCCCAGCCAATCAGATCCCCCCATTCCACACCACTCGGGGGGTCTCGCCCGGTCACCGCCCCTCGCTCAGTCCCAAGCTCCCCACGCCGTGGTACGCCAGGGCCTTGGGGGAGGGGCAGGGTTCTCAGGGCTGGGCCCAGCCTGTGGGGTTGGCCCCTCTCCCGGCCCCACAGGGCCCTTATGATGAGCTCTGCAGGGAGCTTAGGACACACGGGCCAGGCTGACGGGAGGAGGAGCTGGTGCGACAGGCCCAGTGAGACTCGGTAGGAGGAGCTCGGGCCATTGGCCCATGGCAGCTGGTTCTATAACTGCTCAGGCATCTCCCTGTGTTACGGGCCCCAGACAGGCGCTGGGCTCCTACCTTCCTGGCAGAGCAGGGAGCTGTGCGACTTCTCCTCCACGATCCCCCCCGGCTGTTGGGAAGGAGCATCAGAGAGTCAGGAGACAGGACCCTGCACGTCACAGCCTGACAAAGGTCAATCACAAGTGCACACTCGGCCGATTGGCAACCCCACCTCCCTCCACTGAGCCTGGGCTTGAGCAGACACTGACCAGGACCCGCAGGGGCTTGATCACGGTGTCCACTAGCTCCTGGGCCGGCACCACGGCCAGCTCCGTGCCGCACAGCTCCTCGGTGCGCAGGGCCTCCGTGCTGACGGTGAAGTTCACCTCCCCTGCGGAGCCAGGCGGAGATGCCCGTTAGAGAGCCCCACGCCCATGCCCAGCCGCTGCAGAGGGCCCCGGTCCGAGAGGGGAGGGGACAGCAAGGGGGAGGATGGAGAAGGAGGGAGAGAAAATCAGAATAAAGACAAAAAGGTGAGAGAGAGAAAGGGGGAGAAGAGAGGGCAGAGCGGAGGGAGGTGGCGCCTGTGGGAAGTGGCGCGTAGGCTGGAAGGGGTTTCTCTGCCCGGGTGTCTTCCCCCCCCACCCTTCAGCTCTTCCCCTGTTCCCCTCCCTCATGGAGCCAAGCCCTGAGTGACCCTTTCCCACCCTCCCTCCACCTCCCAGCACAGAGCCTCTGATGCCTCTGCCCCATCTGCCTCCATTAGCCTTGATTGGGGGGGGGGGGGGG